CCATCAGTATTGAAATATGGCTTTGTAAACAAAATAGAAATATTGATAGTTCAAATGAAACATTTTATAATGGAAAGTTCATATCAATATAGCTATACTTATTTGTTGTTAGCAGAACAATGAGCTATAATGCATTATTGCTAGTTTGGATGCCTTTACGTTTACACTGACCTATAGGCATTATCATTACTCATGCAGAATCTAAAATTTGATGGTGTATACTAGTACATTGATCAGGGGAAAGTACCTCAAAGATTTGCGAAGTGGAGGTGCTACTTCAAGGGGGATGGTCTATACACTGCACAAGTTGCTGTTTTCAACCGCTAGTAAATATTCAGTCAGAAAATTTACTTTCAACAATTAATATGTCAGTTTCCGATTGCGTGAACTGTGGAAAAGAGCCGGTCGTAATTTTATATCATTTTACAAGTCAACTAGTAGTTTCGCGGTAAGTCGGTTTCCTAATGGGTGGGTTTCGCGGGGAGTAGGGTTTTGTCGCAGTAACGGGTCTTTTCAGCGTTAAGAATTAAAGTTGTTTCTTTAACAACTAGCGCTAGTCTGGGAATACCATCCTTGGAAGCTATTAATTTGCCCTTATGATTTGTGCAGTTGCTCTAGCAGGAGTTCCAAAATAAGAACCATGCTCTGACAATGCCCCTAGTTTCAAAAACTAATAAACATTAGAACTCTAAATATCAAAACATATTTTGGTATGAAATAGTAATAATACCGTGAGAAGTTTATTTAGCCTTTTCACCACCAGTTTCCTTTTTTCATCACAAATCCACAAAATAGTCCCGTTTATAGTCTGCACTTTCCTTCTGAAGTCGGGGACAAAAATAGCAAAAATGTTTGAGTAAAAACTGGAAATTTATCTCGAGTTTTTGCCTGTTGGCTCCAAATTTAGGATTTATTTCCAGAAATATTGATGAATATAAGAAAAAAAGGCAGACAAATTTGGGCTAGAAAGTCTAGTAGTGAAAAAGTTAGAACAGAAAACGGCGTGAAGACCATCCCACATTGTCAGGCTAGTAACGGTATACAAACGAGCAATTGTGGAAAGATGAGTTCTCGGGAAGATTGGAACGCATCGAAATACTCTTGGAAGTCAAACTCGGTATTTAGGGCCCGTCGTGACCAGATCAAAACTTGCGTTCTTGTGTCACTGGAAGAACGCATTAGATTTAGGGAAATCAACAAAGATATACAATGATGTTGTGTCTGTTCTAACTATAATGTGCGATGCACGCAGCGACAATCGCAAGCCAGCGTGATAAAAAATCTGCAAGTCTCTGCAATTTTATCCAGCTCTATTTCCATTTATCCGTTGATGCCATATATACTTGATATAATTTAGCTTACTCCGAAATCCTCTTTTCAATGTCAGGGTTCCAAAGATGTTTCTATATTGTTATTGTTTCTATATGAAGAAGTCGAAAATATCTCTTTTTTTAACGAAAAAATACAAAAATGAAGGGATAATATTATCCCCGAGTGGTTCCAGCAACAAGGAAGATAATATTATTCATGAATTGTCCAAAGAATGAAGGAGATAATATTATCCCCGAGTGGTCTCAACAACAAGAGAGATACTATTATCCCTGAGTTGTCCCAACAACAAGGAAGATAATATTATCCCTTAGTGGTCCCAACAACAAACGAGGGTGATAATATTATCCCTTTCTGGTCCCAACAACAAGGGAGATAATATTATCTCTGAGTTGAACGAAAGAGATAATATTATCCCTAACTTATTCCCAAAAACGAAAAAGATAATATTATTCCTCAGTGGCCCCACCATCAAGCGGGATAATATTATCCAAGTTGTCTAAGAAACGAATGAGATAATATTATCCCTGAGTGGTCGCAGTATCAGAAAAAGTAATACGAAGATGTCGTCACGAAATGAACAAATCTATCTGAGGTTCTCTCAAGGTACCAACATACCAAGTACCAAAACATTTGGGCTGGTAGTTTTCAAGAAGAAGAAACTGCATTTGTTAAAGTACGACGGACGGACAGACAGACGAGGGTCGCCTATATGACAGCGATGATAGCACAGCTAATAAGTAAGTTGTGTAAATGGACATTTATAACCAGTCACTTTAATTGTATTCATTGTCACCCTGACAGCCATGTCATATCAAGAAAATCGGTCATTTTCAAACACAACGAAATCATTATAATCTATAACATCGGATACACCAATTACTTTATTCACAGCACATGTTTGTTATTTGTTCGTCCGCGTTTATGGACCACAGTCACCGTGACTATTATCGTTAATTTGTTAAATTTACTGATTAGAAGATATCCTTTTTTTGCGTGTAATCTAAACCCGGGGTCGCCAAAAGTTAATGTCACACGATGGTGACATCGAAGTCATTAATTGTTCACGTGACACCATCTTTATTTTGACCTCCTGAACTATGACAATGTCATCACCCTGACCCTTTCGGGGGTGGTGACATTATTTTCCAAGATGATGGGAAGGTGTTTATCTGAGAACGGCATCACGTTACAAGACCTTCAGTAGACGCACGGTGGCATATAATCAACGAAGCCGACTAAGTATTTCTGGCTATTTCAGTTTCAAAGTTGGATACGGGTCAGGATACCGATTTTGTCGCTTCTAAAGACGTATCTTATGCGGACATCGAGAAAAAATGTTAACGGCGTCACTAGACCTTATCATATGTTTGGAACTTGTAATGCAGTCGTATGGGGATAGGCGAAACGACATTCGAAAGCACAATCTATGGAGATGCGGGCATTCATACTCAAACTAGAATGAGGAAGCCATTAATTTCGGCAGTGATTTCAATGCAGATTATGTTAATCAGCCAACACTTGCTGAAAAGATCATGCACGCTATAGACGTGACAGCGCCACCACTGGCAGACACTCTTATAGTGACGTACGACCGCGTGAACAAGAAAAATCAAAATGTGACGCAGACGTCAACAGGCGGCTAGGACCACGGTAGGTAAAACCCTACTAGGATTTGTGAGCTGCTTTGTTTTATTTAAGCACCACCACGTTACTATATTTATCAAGGATCGAAAGAATACCGCAACAGCCGCCAAGTAATCGACCGCTTCTGTGTACTGGGTGTCATGGACTTCCCTTTGGAAACTTACCAAACTGATCCTGTGACCGATTCATACCCTACTGTTACTATGACGACACTTCGACTGTTAACATGTGTTTGGAATCTCTCATTTGACAATCAATCATCTTAACCTAGTTTTTGGGCAATTAAAGATTAAATTTCGAAAAAAAAAGTTTGGGCTAGCTTTATAATTTAAATTTTCGCTTATATAAGAAGAAGCAGGGTGGTATTTACCACTACACAGTAGAGCGCCGCAAACGGTAGTAGCTCAGTGATTAAGGAGAAAATGTTAGAACGAACCACGCTAGTTTTTGTTTGTTGTATAACGTTATTAAAATAGCATATTATAATAAAATAACTAGTTGCCATAAATTCCAGTTAAAACATCTCAAATCACGGCTTCTTCTTCTAGTAACCACGTCTCAATAAAGCATATTGTTGGTGTCTAATACCAGGATGAAAAATCAACCAAAATGCGTGATATATGACGCAGATGTCGATCCCAGTTGCTGTCCGTTGCTATTACACGCCTGCAGCGTTGACTGCGACTTATCCTATAGTTGCCTGGTATTTACTAGTAAAACTACTTTATGATAATAATATTGTCTGCGTTTGATATTCGGTAGTCACGATAAATGCGATAATGTAGTTTTGTACCGTCATGATGTTCTGGAAAGCGTGTAGAGTGTGCGTACATCGTGTTCTCTGCAGTCGACCACGTGTGACTCGGAACCCCAACAACGTGTCGTATCGTACATACGTAACCAGGCAACTATCAGAAGGCGATGAGTTTTATGTGATTACATCATGGTTGGCCTGCATCGCATCGTCCTACTTTTTCCAAATCACTGTGTTGATTAGAGTCATGTGACATCGCAGTACTTATATATAGCTTGGCAAAAGCGCCATTTGACGCACTAAACCACTGATACCAAACACACCAATATATAACTATCTTGTAGATGCTTCTCTGTCTGTATCATCATCGTCATGTTTTACCTAACACGACCGAGATTACTGTTTTCTCTGTTCATTATTTACTACTCAGGTGAGTTCATTCGCCTTTTTCAGTATGTATAGCTAACACTGTACCATTGATTGAGTCGTACTAATCAGAGAGTCGTTTAGTGGAACGTTATTTGATGAGTGGGCTAATAATTTTTAATTGCGGCTACACGATTTATTGACACTGTCATTTAAGACTTAAGTTTCAAATTCAACTGCATAACCTCATCTGCCTCGTAATTGTGCATAGTTGGTCATTGCCAATGCGTTTCTCTGTCCTTACTTCAAATCGGTGTCAGTAAACCATGTAACCTTTGATCGTCGTCATTGTTCTGTAACGCAACCCGACCATAATGTTATCTTTTCATGATTCAACTTTGGTGCTAGTAAAGTACACCGTCCTTGTCCGAGTACATACACCCACTTCAGTTTTAACTCACATCTCGTCATGCACGCAGAGTTCGAATTTCGCGTAATTCCACACATGTCGTATACGTCGCATACAACTCTTATCGAACACTCCCTTTAACGCTGTGTTATGGGATATATTTTGTTTACCGACAATGGCCAATCAGCATTGTAGACTTGTTCGTTTACAGTAAAGAACAATACCGGTATGATTATTTTCACGTGGTGCCATTCATTAGTGAACTAGCGATAAATGAGCACGCATTAAAAGTAGATTTTGACCGTGTAAATCTGCACCACTCATACTAGTTCCATGGTTTAAATATTACGGTAGTAATGTCATGATTTATATTTTCATGTGTTTAGGTGAGGTCGCTTTTAGCGGCCATTGCGACTTTCAATGATGACCTCTGGATAACCCACATCTGCTCGTAACTTGTCATGATCAGGTTCATTCGTATTAGGGAATTAGTAAATGGAACAACTGGCTGATATAATGGTCGACTATGGAAGTTGGTTAAGTCAACGAGGCGCCTATAAATATTAGAGTTATGTCCCGACATCGGGGGCAATTAATCAGACATTAAGGCGTGTTAAATACTTTGCGTAATTGGCTATATGTGTGGAGGCCACGCCTCGAGCTCTTAAACTTCTCTGTAATTGGTTAACAGTTGGAAAAGTGAATAAAGCTGATCTCAGTTAGTTGTGGCAAGCTCACCAGAAGGCAAGCAGTCCTGGGGCAGCCTTGACGCAGAGTTGACGCGGTCTTGGGAGAGTTCCGACGTGGCACTGAGATTAGAGGTTGAAACGATTTGATTCTCTGTGTGTCTTTGTTCGATAGAAAGGTGGAGAATTCCCCGAACTTGGTCGCTCTGACGTGAAGGTTTAATAACACTCAAATTAAGCTTTCACAGTAAATTCAGCCGATCTGTGCTCTCGTGATGTAGGAGGCATGGCACGCCATTTTTTTAATACCCTGTTATTTGACCATTTTGTTCACTTTGTTTTCCAGCACTACATAAAAACCCATTGGGAGAAGAAATAGCATGCGATAATCCATCGCTAGAGGGACTGCGCGTCTGGTTAGGTAGGTGTAACGCATACAACATACAATTCTATGATATTCTCACCGTTGACCAATCTGATTAACATTTGATGTTTTATTTTTTTCTTATTTTTTAGTTATTTTCTATATTTTATTTATTCATATTGTCGTTTATGTAAGTTTAGTTTTAGTTCTACTTGATTCATTTTTTCAAATACTACATCACCATACGCTTAAAACATACACAGTATAGTCTAAAGTATAGTATACTATCCTGTCTATGCTTAAACCAAAATTTTAAACATATACAAACAAAATTGGTAATAAATAAAATATGGGAACAAATAAATACAAATTGGAGCATATAGCTACATAAGATTGGACATTGACTAACTAGTGAGTTCATGGTCTGATGAAGTATGTACTACCATCTGTTTCACGGCGAAAACGACTAAAATGTACAGTTTATGTACGTACATTCGGTAATCTAACATTTTCACTCGACTTGATTCTTTGCATTTCAGACGACGTTCCTGGCTGTCTAGCGAATGAGAGTTACTGCGCCCTCTACGACTTCAATTATATTTGCACTGAACCGATTACGTATGAAGGAGAAACATGCAACAACGGCACACGTGTGTTGTGCGAGGCTAAGCCGCCAGTACCACTATCCGACCCAACACCAGCGACAACCATCAAAGTGTTAAGCTATAATATTTTGGAACTGAACTATATATATTGGCAGTCTGGTCAGCGTGAACGCACTTGTCGATTACCGTATCTTATTTTCGAGAACATTGGCGATGTTGACGTCATTATTTTTCAGGAACTTATGATGGGAGGATGTTTCCCCGATGTCTTGGATTTACGCGAGCTCCTGGCCCATCACGGATTTATATACAACACACCGACGGTTGGAATCGATGCCCAAGAAAATGAGTTAATTCGACTAGAGAATGGCGGTGGCTTCACCTCATCAAGATGGCCAATAGTTGCACACGACGAGGCGGTATTACTAGCCGTGTATCGAACGGATACTGATCTGTTCTCATCCAAGGGAATCGATTATGTAAACGTGGAAAAAACCGTCGATGACGTCACCCGGAATTATCACATCTTTGGCACACACTTACAATCGCGAGACGGAGGTATGAGACCGGAGGTGCGGATCGTTCAGGCATCGGAAATGAGATTCTTCTTACAAAGGCTTGACATTCCCGCGAATGAACCAGTGATATTCGGCGGCGACTTTAATGCCGATTACGTCGAGATGCCGGAACACGCCGAAGCAGTGCTGCATGTTATGGACGTCACGGTGCCTGAAATAGTTGGCGATCTTAGAGTGACATATGATCGTGAAAACAACACCTTAATATCAGGTGACGGCGGTTCCTGGTTAGACTATGTGACCTACCACAACCAACATCTGCAGCCGACTAAAGCAACCCTGGAATCGATCCGAATTACAGATGATCCGTTTTGGATCTGTAATCGTGCAAGACTGCGTGATTTCAGTTACGAGTACCCGAATTCCGAAAATTGCCGAACCCCAATGCAGGTGATCGATCTGTCGGACCATTACTGCGTTTTGGGAACAATGGACTTTCCTTTGGAGCCTACTATTTCGTCCGCATCTACAATGTTCCGGTACTACACTGTTGGTATAGTTGTATTCGTGTTTGCAAGTCATTTAATTATCTAGGAACGAATTCTATAAAAAACATACCCTCATAAACTGTCCGATATATTATCGTGATGGCGGTGGTTGATTTGCCACGTGAGACTAACCGCTATTTTCTAATATCGATTGCAGTATGCAAATAAGTAGACGTAGTGGGCGCTCCTCTAATATATAAAAGCCCGCAATTTACAGTAAATTAAAAATACTTACAAATCTCGCGTTCCCAACGTGAGAAGCCCCAGACATTTATGCATATATACGGGTAGATTTTAGTCCATAGCTTTGCTTGTGTCGGTCTTCAGTCTTTGTGATGGTGTTTTATTAATTTTGTGAGATATGAAGTCTAAAGTTGAACTTTTCGGATTAGTATTTTATTTATCGGTACTTATATTACTTTTGTTGTCTATTTTCTTTAATGGTCCTACATGCATGTAAAGACCCTTTCCTGTACTTTCTTCTCAAATGGCTGTGAGCAGTCCAAGCACACATTTGTAGCTGGCAAAACTTTACGCTATATTTGCCTCAAATTGTTATCATTCGTTCTGATGAAAATGGCAGCTTTACTAAAGTTATGTCCGATCTGGCGACCCAAATTTCAGGAAAACAAAATACACATCGTTTTTTGTCATAGGTTTTCGTTATCGTCAGTGTTTAATATACATGGTATTCCTCGATTGGTGATAATTTAGATTGTGTTATATAACATTTTTTTGACCATTTTAGCAAAATTTAAAGGATGATTATCGCCCTCAGTTTTCAACTGGCTGTGGAACCCGGGCATTAAATGTAGCAATCATGATGATTAAATACCTTTACAAAGACTAAAGACCTACACAAGAAGAGCTATGGTCCTATAGCTAATATGCAGACTGTAATATACATTTGATCATTTTTCATTATCACATATGGCTACACTTTCCCCCCGGAAGTATTTTCCCTGGAATGAATTCATGTTGTTCACAATGTTTTTTTAATGCTGTTAGATTCTGTTCAAATTCAAAACTGAGACAATCGAGGTCTTTTGAATATGACAAATACATAAAATACGCACAGGAAAGAAGAATCAATACAATTTACGTTTACGCACATGTTGTAAAAGAAAACTCCATAGGAACGGAATCTGCATTGAGTGCGCATGAAAATAGCTTGCTTACCAGCAGGATGCCTAACTCACTCTGGGCTATCACCCGTCAGTGGTTAAATCACATCTGGCTATATTGTACACTGAGCTTACCATTAAATAACAAACAATTTAAAGCTTCATTTAAATCTAAAGCTGACGAATGGCATCAATAAAAGGATTAATACTATCAATATCAATATATATTCCATAATAAGAAGATATTTTTAAAAAAGATTTTCTTCTTTAAATAACCAGTGTGTTTCTATTCTGGCTTAAACTTTTAAATTAAGAAAGGTTGTACATGTATATGTACAACCTTTCTTATTTTAAAAGTAAAATAAAACAAGCATTACAGACCTTTTATATGACAAATTTTCCTTCAAATCCAACTGCCTGCCTGTGACTTCTTTACCTCTTTTTTTAAAGTATACCCATGTTTATCACGTTATTACTAGTTATCTGAACAGTATTCCACATGATACGCTTTAAAGACGATGTAAGTGAACCCAAGTGCGAGGAACTTCAATATATCAACTGGATTCACAATTTTAAAATCATTTGAAGAATATGCCAGACATTGGGATAAATGAGAGGAGGTAGAACTGGATATTGTTGTTGGAGTGGGGGAAGGATATCAAAAGTGAAGTGTTTTGTCGAATTGATGGACTTGAATCCTGCGCCAACAGTCGACCAAAGTCTGGTTTAAAAAATTCTGATGCATCCAATTGTCTCTCTGCTCTCCACGATAGATATGTTGTTGTACCAGTAGACACAGCTTCCAATAATACAGTGTTTGTAAATCATATTATTGAGTGCTTTATTTAAAAACTTGGGCTTACTTCAAATACAAATTCTATCAACAGACAAATAACTGTTAGCTGAAAAACACAATACAAAACTACATTTATTATTCCAAAGAATATTGTGAACTTAAAAATATGACTTTAATTAAAACTTGATTTTATACTACTATACCACACGAAATTGTATCAATCAAACTTTTTAAATATCAATGGCTTTAGTCATTACAAATACACAATAATTGGATACGCTTCTACCTAAATTGTTAAGAACAAAACTGATGTGAAATTTTCTGAACTAAAGAACCGCTTTGGGTTGCAATGAAACAATATAATCTAAAAGTAAATAATGTTCTGTAACATTTTGTATCTTAATAACAAGAGATGGTTTTAAATATATTTAGTAACGAGGTAGTGTCGTGCATTTACTGTACCGTGTGAATTAATTAACTAAAACCTTTCGAAATTCACAAAAAATCTAAAAATAACAAAAAATAACCAAAGATAAAATTTTGAGTAAATAAAGCCCGAATACGACAAGCAGACCGACAACAGTGATCTAAAACAATTGACACTAACTATCGCTTTACGAGTAATCTGAAAATATATAAATACAAATTGAATTTTTTTTGTATATGCTAAAAAATACCTTTTCGTGCTGCTTTTCGTCATATCGTCATACAAACTGATTGCAAAATGTTATTGTTGAAAATAGCGTTCACATTCGTAAAAAGCGATTGCAAAGTTAATAGATTTGCTTAAAAATGTGACAAATGTCTCGCCGAAACCCTTAGTGGAAGTTTAATGAGACACATAGCAGATTGGTCGACACATCTCGACAATTGAGCCTCATGGCACGTTTATTTGTTTTGGTGACTACCTGAGCAAACCGGCTGGTGAAACTATTTTCTTGGAATATCGTCACACAATTTTCACAACAAAATACATTGTAATATAATGTGTTTGATAAATCAAAAGAATCATTGATCTTCCACGTAATGAATTGATTGTACATTTATTTACTGCATAAATATTTATTGATATATCACGTAATGAAGTGATTGTACATTTATTTACTGCATAAGTAATTATTGATATACCACGTAATGAAGTAATTGTACATTTATTTACTGCATAAATATTTATTGATATATCACGTAATGAAGTGATTGTACATTTATTTACTGTATAAGTAATTATTGATATACCACGTAATGAATTGATTGTATATTTATTTACTGCATAAATAATTATTGATATACCACGTGGTTTAGTTTGCTGGAACATGGGAGGTTTGATAAAGAACTTCACTATCTTGTCTTTTTTGGCGTTGCAAACCATATTTGGCTGAAATGCTTACGCTTATGAAATGTTATATGGGCGTGGTCGTTTTTGTAACTCGATGTCCGTAACTTAACAATCCAGCAACTCTCATGCTCAAGACTTTGACTGGAGGGGGCGGGGCGGGGGGGGGGTATAAACATTCGAAGTATAAAGTTAACGAGAAAGGATAGGTTTAGCACAGAACTATTGTAGGGGCAGGCGATATTGCTGGAGACGAGTAACCATACCAACCATTATTGTTGTACCTGATAATTTTGCGGAGTTCATTTGTGGCATCGTAATTGTACCAGTGTGCATTCTTGTACCTACCTAATTAGCTATTATAATTGTATTCAAATATATTGGCGCCCATCAGTCGAAAGTATCAGTGTGCCACACTAATGTAACTTTAAACTTGTTAAGAACCCGCAAACGAAGTGATACAAATTATTTACTGACAAAAAAACAATTTCTAAACATTTCTTTTTGATTTGTTGGAAAAATTAGTTTTGTGTTGAATATTTCAAATATGTTGAAAACTATAAGTTTGTCATGGCTGACGTAAAAATGTGCCAAATATATCTAATTGGATTGGGACAAAACTATAAAACATTGTACAGAAATATATTAACATGTATGACATACAATGAATATTGTGCATATCATAGTTTTATTGTACTGTATTGTAGAAATGTAACATTCTGTACATATTGAATACGGGACTTGGCGCTGTGTTATGTGCACATTACCAAGTTGGGATGCACGGGCAGTACATATTTGTGTCAGACATTATTTGATTTTACAAAATAAACAAATAAAATTGGAATAACCTATTGCACCTACATGAACAAAAATATTTTTGATATTTGATTAGCTGTTCTTGAGTAGATTTCGACTGTGACAGAAATATTTAAAGAATGGACAGTAACACAAGTTACATAATAGATTTATTTAGTTATGCTACTAATGTTGTTAATTAGGATAGAATTCAGTTTTGCAAAAGTAAACCTCCAATTGGTTCACATAACACGTGTCCAAAAACGTTTTTATATAAAGGTATTTGTCATCCACAAACCTAACTAGAAGACACTCTGCGTAATCTTCAAAACATATTTATGTTATTGATATAATTTTTATTTTTTTTAAAAGAAAGACTGGACATTTACTCAAACAATCAGATATTAATCTAATAATGGTTAGGTATTCTCCAATTCTTCAACAAGATCCAGTTCTCGCCTAAAATGTAATAATCGATTGCTCCCCTCCTGAACATATTATGAAAATTCGTCCTCAATTTGTGTCGTTTTCAATAAACAATCATTTACAAAATAGCTGTTTCCAAAATCTCTCTAATATTTTAGTATTATTTCAGTTAACCTCTTAAAATTCTTCTAACATCAAAGTCAATGGAAATTCCCCTATCATAAATAAAATCGATATGATCAGTCTTTTGTCATTTTAAGAGTATCCGCACTGTAAATTTCATGACAATCCATCCATATGATTTTGAGTTATTAATGAAAAGTCATTCAGAATTTACATCTTTACCAAATCTAATCTATTGGTATATGTGTCAATGGCAACCCCTCCTGAAATTGTGATAATAAACCATCCATAGCTTGTTTATAGGGTTAACCCTCCCGAACATTTCACGGGCAAATAGCCATAACGTGTTTAGTTAATAACTAAAGAAAAAAAAAACATTCCCAAAATTACATTTCAAACAAACTATCA